GTGTGTGTGTGTGGTGGCACAGCAGCCAATCCTGTCCATGCGGACTGTGGTGTGGTCGGGTTCCCCTGCTAAATTTAATAAGGGTCTTTGCTTACATCATGGCCAAAAGAAACAGAAAGAAAAGAGGGAGACTGGAAGAAGTAAAAGAATCCTCCATCAGCGTTATAATTTTTAAAAGACTATTCTGGTGGTTTGATATGGTTAACTTTGCTAAAAGCTACATATAGCGTAAAGCTGCATTCATACTGTTTGGCCTCTCAGCTCAGAAAATTCCACATTCTTAAAATAAAAGTCACTTCTAACATGTCGTGCAGTTACACAGAAGCATTGGCATTTATTTAGAGCAGTGTTACATTTTGTGCTCATATAAAGCAAAGATTCATGGTTGTAGTGAAGGAGGACATGCAGAGAGTTGTGTGTGGCAGTGGCTAGAGGTACTAGAGAGGAGAGTCGCTTTGTTAGTTGAAGCTCTTCATCCTCTCAAGGATATTTGAGGATGTGTGGAAGTTTTCCAAACCAATTGAAGTGTGTTTTGTGGACTTGGAATAAGTATTTGATCACATTCTTAGAGGTATACTTTTGGGGGGTGCTTCAGGAGTATGGCATGTTCGATCCCAGTACTGATGTAGCTTTGTCCGCAATCAGTTAGACTCAAGGGTGCTGAACTCCATCAGGGGTGCCCTTTGTCACCAATTCTGTTCATACCCAAAAGGTAGATTCTGGTCGTGTCCAAATTCATGGGCGGTCGCGGTCTACGTGGGCCGGGTCCTCAGAAGGTCGGGTAGGCCGTAAGTAAACGGTTGGGGAAATTGGACGGTCTAGCCTTCTGATTAGCGTCACCGCTGTCTCGGTGGAGTTTAATAAACTCAGCCGTCTGCTCCTTGCTATCTAAAATATAACAGGACACTGGTGTAAATTCTCGACCATCTCATACTTCTGTTTTATCAGTTTTCTATTTGACGTTTAGTCAGCTGTGTAAAAACCAAGGAGGAACCCACCCGGGGGATTAATAAAGTTTTATTTTATCTAATCTAATAACTTTAATCTCAGCCAAACCGATTTACTCACGAACAAACAAAACACTGGAAAAAAGCCCAACAATAAAATTTTTAGGTTGTCTAAGTGACTTATATATTACGTTTAACCCGAGTAGCAAAAGTCCGCAGTGATCTGAAAATGATGTGCCGGGAGTTGTGCCGTTCTCGGCTGCATCAGTAACCCTCGAGTTCCCGGCTAGCTATCGAGCTGGTGGGTAGCAGACGTCTCTGAAAACGTCGAAGCACTTTTGCAAATATGCGATATCTTGATAAACCGAGCAGGTTGATTCTGTTCATCTGGACGTAGCGTTTTAAACGCTATGTCCAGATGAACAGAATCAACTTTTGGACACTTAACTGGATGATTGAGTATGCATTGAGACAACTGTGTTCATAGTTTTTTGGGGGACTGAAAATCTAGGCTTAGCTGGACAAGTGAAACTACAACTTCTGTCAGTGAAAAGAAGTTTAACTACACAATTAATCAATGAGATGTCTTAATCTAACACAACAGTTCACTTTTTCTACATGATAAAGAAATTATTCTTCTTTATCAGTGGGAAAAGATGGAAAAATGTGAAAACACAGTTAAAAGTCTAGAATATATCTCCTTCACAGGCCATATGAGGTCATAGGAATAATATACCTACTTTGCTAATAATTGCTACACTCCAAAAATGAGCTCTGTTTCCTATGAGCTCTGTTTCGAGTTATTATGCTGTATATTAACTTACACGTGAGAGAGAAGGGAAGATGGGTAAGAAATGAATCGAATACGTCTCAGAGAAGACTTATTATAAGCTAGTGGCAAAAAAAGAAGGTTGTGTCTTTGATACACACACACACACATTCACATACACACATGCAAATAACACACAGTTTTAAATATGTACAAGACAAACTTAGAGCACCTGCCTGATTTTCTGTCTGCGGTGGCCTCGTCCTCTCCCAGCACGCTTCTTTATTTATCAGCGGAAGCTAAAGTGATTAACCCACAGCTGTTCTCCCTGCATCACACATACACATACATACAGACACACACAGACTCACACTGTCACTCCATATGTTGCACAGGCCAAAAGGTGTCAGATACCAGTGGCATCCTAGAATGGGTCAGAGAATATAAAAGTCAGAGGAAAGCTGGTGTGACATTTTGACACTTTAAATGATGAGGTTCTCTGGGAAGATAGTAAGAGCAGTGCTTGCAAGACCATACAAAGTCGTTCCCAGTGTGTGCGTTTGTGAGACAAGTCTGAGACCTGAACGAAATCCCTTGCTGCTGTGGAGACAGCCTCCCGGCCCACTGCGGACGCATTAATCACAGGTTATAATTAAATGTCTCCATCTCTTCACACAGAGACAGGATGGGAAGTGAAAGAGGGCCAGAGCTGCTATCAGGCTCACGCTCCAGCCAGGCCAGCCACCCAGAGTTCACCACACCCAGGTCTTGATCCCCCTCTGTCATCACAGTTGGTGGTAGATATTGCACAGAGGGGAAATATTTTCAAGCCATAACTCTGGGCTCTGCTAGACTGCTGCAATATGAATATGGCCTAGCATCACTTTTATTAATCTCAGGTGTTTGCAGTTTCAGAAACTGTTTTCTGTAATGTCTGTGGTCCTTGAATGATATACATTGAGCTCCAGTATGTGATCAGTGCTCTTTTGCTGTCTTTTGACAAGATTATTCAAAAGCTACACAGTTGAATGTCATGTAACTTAGTGATGGACAAGCACAGGGAGAACCCACACACTTTTTGTGTAAATCTCCATTACTTTCTTTAAAAGTGCTAAATAGGGAATTGGCCTTGGCAGAGGATACACCTTTTGCATCCAGCTACATCTAAGGATCGTTTGTTAATAGCTTGAGTGGCAGCACCACCCTTCATCTCAAAGTCTTTCCAACATTTCTGAAGGAAGTAGTTTCCTTAAAGGTTATATAATGTGCCACTGTGCTACACTGTAGTATTTGTGCCTCTTGTATATTTATACTCTTACAGAGTCTTATACACACAAATATAATCTCAAGATATAGATCTGTTATCTACAAAAGCAATAAATGAGTGAACTGTTCAGTGGCTTAATGTTTTTTTCTCTCTTAAGACAGCCTAAGTCATTTGTCCAAAGCATTGTTCATTAAAATGCTCTGCATCGAATCAAGAATAAGTGACATTGCAGAGCACTTTTATTGGGATGAAATGTAATACTCTGATGGATACGCCGCAAGAGAGTGGAGAGGATGCGTGTGCTGAATGATGATGTCCTGTTTAGGAAGGCGGGAGCTCACATCCCAACTAAAGCTGCCTCATAATTAGAAAGTGGAGTCTAAAGCCTTGCTTCCAGTCAAAGAGACTGTGGACATGTGAGTGTGCTGGGCAGTATGTTTAAAATTTGATCTTCATATTGTAAATATGCAGTCACACTCTTATAATAAATTCCAACAAAATTCTGAGTATCACAACTCACTGCAGCTAACAAGTACCCAGTGGTTACAGTCATACTGCAAACCTTGCTTTTTTCATGAGTGTTTTTTAGAGGCTTACTGTAAGCTTTTCATAACTTTTCACTGACGCTAAAGCCACGTTCTGCACTGACTCTCTGCACTCTGAGCATCTTCTGTAGAGCTATTTGTCCTTCTTTTCTGCCGCCGTTGGCACCAGCTCTCTGCAGTGCAGAAACATAATGAATGTCAGGCTGAAGCAAAATAAAAATAAAAAAAATACACAAAGTTTACAATTAGCCTTGATTTTCAACCACCGCAAATGTAATTTGTATTCAATTTGGGACCCTTTAACAAGGGTGTGATTGGGATATTTACGAAACAGGGATTTTTTTCTTCTCTTTTTATACATTTCTAACAAAATAGAAGAAAATAGAAGAGAATCGCTGCAGAGGGAGGGAAGCTGGTTTTCTTCTACCATCAGCCTTTTTATGAATTTTACATATAAATAAATATTTCCAAAATATGTCACATGTTTCAGATTACAAGCTCATCTGAATGTAATTCAGTGCATGTGCAATTGCTACAATATACTATCTAGTTTTGCAGTCTGAGGTAAAATCGCTTTATTTTGTTTAAAAACTTCTCTATGCTTGGTGGAATCTCTTTCATGTTACCACAGGGTTGTGCAATGTGTGTCTCCTAATGAGTTTTGTGACCTTTTTTTTGGACAGAACTGCATGGTATCAATTTGTGGTGTAACTATGTCATCCCCACTGGAACGTTTTGTAAGCTAATTCAGGGGAAAGAAATAATGCTTCCACAGCGACCTTATTTTGGAATTAATTACCTTTTAATATAGCCATTACTTCCCTCCGGCAACTTTTGCAAATCTGTGGTAGGCCTACTGAATAATGACTGTGTAATGACCTCATCTCATGGTCATTACACCACACTGTAAAAACCACTGCTCTGTCATTTGCCTCCAATGACTGAAGTGACAACAGGGAAGCCCCCCCACCCCGTGCTGCAACCAAATGTCTAAAGAAAAAAGAGAGAAAAAAGGAAAGCAAAGTAAGAATGAGGAAACCTAAAGAGAAAAAAGCTGTTGACTCATTGCCCCAAATGCAGGTTGTTGTTCTTTCTTTCTTTCTTTCTTTCTTTCTTTCTTTCTTTCTTTCTTTCTTTCTTTCTTTCTTTCGCCTCTGTGGACCACCAGCCTTTTAAAAAGACGCAACTTTACAATGTGACACAGAGAGCAGAGATTTTTCTTTTTTTTTGGTCGATTCGATTTCTTTCGGGATAGGGGAACAGAAAGCGGTATGAAGAAAAATAACACTTAGAAAAGAAAGAACTTGAGGGAGACTATTGCTTTATTCTGTCATAAAACTTATTATACGATAATAATAAATCATTTTCAGCAAATTACCTTTACTTTAATTTAGCGGAACCGAATCATACATACGGAGCACCCCCTTAAACCTTCTCATGGTACAGTCCACAGCTCCTTTTCGTGTCCACAGAGTCGGGAACCACAGCACAACATGTTGGAGACCGTAGCCGAGCCGTTCAGCTCAGAGTTAACTTTTTTAATCCCGGTTTTGTCGCGTTATCGCACACAAGAGGAGGAGGCGGAGGAGGTCGCCGAGAGAAAGGGGGATAAAAAGCCAGTCATGCTATGAGGTTAGGGTGAAAGCCGGAGCGTCTTCTTGTAAAAGAAGCCCGTTGATATTTAATTGTGCACAGGAGAAGAAGAAGAGGAGAAGAAGAAGAGGAGGAGGAGGGAAGAAGGGGAAGGGAAGCCCAGAGAAGCGAGAAAAAAGCGGGGTCCACGATGCAGCTGGCCGCGGTGCTGTGGGGCGCCCTCCTAACTTTGCTTCTCAGCCGGAGTCCAGGTAAGAAAATGCACGGACAACAACGGCGCGAACCGGGCTTGGATCTGCATGTCAGTGGGTCCGAGCAAGAGGTGGACGGAGGGTTGTTTTTTTTGCACCACTGTTATTTGGCACTAGAATTTAGTTTTAGGTTGTTTTTTTCTGCTTCTCATAAGCGCATTCAAACTACAGCCAAGTTTCCCTGTAACAGAGAAGGGGCCATGTAGGTGGTTAAAACAGTGGAAAATGTGCTCGAGTGTGTTTTCATTGTTTTCTTAAAGTCTTGTTTGACAAACATACCTGTGTAGCTCACAGATCTGTAGCAGCAGTCCTTTGGATGGTAATACCTAAAACTTGTGAAAATGTGTATATATATTCATTTTTTAGCACTCATTTCGTTTTGTATATGTGAAGCTTATTATTTTTATTACTTATTTTAGTTTCTTTATTTTTGTTTATCTTCACGTACCCTGTTTATTTTGTGCGCGTGTGTTAAATGTTGGCGTGCCGCTTTGATTTAGGCTTAAATGGGGTTTCATCAGTCTTATTTATTTATTTACTGTTTGGTGTTTTATGGAGGTTGAGGACATGGGCTGGTACAGTACGCGGTGGGTGAATGGTGGGGATGTTCTGTCAGATCTAACACATTTCTTGGCTGATGTTGGAATAAGCAACCAGATGTTGTTGCTTTTCTAATCTGTCTGTTGTCTTGGATACCTAGAAGCTGAAAGTTGGTCATGTAACTCATGAAAGGGTTTTTATTTTTAAGAGAATATTTGCTTTTTGGCTGGCATATAAGCTGATGCACAGTGGCTTTAAAAAAATCTCCTTTTATTTTGTGCAAATATCCATTTGAGTAATTGCCACGTGACCTTCATGCTCTTATTTGTCTGATAACTTCTGAGAAAGAAGCAAATTTGGATCACACTCCTCTGCGCCCTGATTGCAGGTGAACCATGCTGTTTATATATGATATTTTAGATCCTGTCACACCCCCACTGACACACCATAACCAGCAGTATTTGCTATATTTCCACTACTCTCTTTCTATGTTTCTCTAACACCTTGTATTTACAACATGTTAGAACAGCCGCTGGAATGCAAGGACCCAGCAGAGGCAATGTCTGAACAGACACGTGCACAAGCACACACTGAGCTTAGTGTCATACACACATGGGTGTTGCACACTCTGACATGCTGTGTAAAGATTTACCTGACAGGAATAGCGAAAATGACATCTGTAATTGGCTGGTCGGACATCAAATGGAGGTTGGTGTAATTGTAACAAGTTCTAAATGTCACCAGAAGACTGTATCTAAAATGTCAACCTGATAAGAGTCAATATCCAATTGAAAACAAAAGTCACCCTGGATGACATCCTATATATAGCGGGTCCTTTCATCCTTCCAGATATGGTTATCAATGCCCCCACCCTCCTTGCACCTCCCCACTTTATCAGGGGCGGAGGCCTGTGCTCCTTTGATTATAGTCTTGTTCTGTCATAAAGCAATTAAGCCTGCCGGGCCTGTATCATGTCTTAAACATTTCATTGTGCACTGGGTATGAATGGAAGCTGCTGCTGTTGGCATTTTCCATTGTGGCGAGTAGCAAACACCACAGCTCCAGTGCTTTGTAATTCTTCTGCTTGATAGTGGTTTTGCATTCCAGTCTTTAATTGAAGATCCTTAAATCTGAGCACTTTCCTTTTGGGAATCCCAAAAATTTAGTATTTATTTCCTCTCTGGTTTATTTTTTTCATTTTTTTTGTCAGTGTGGAAAAGGCTCTGAAATAGCTTTCAAACTGTAATTTGACTCGGACAGCTAAGACTTGCACTTAATGAATGATTATTTTAAGACTAGTGGCTCTTTGAGGGCAGGATCTCATACCACAGCCATCCAGTGGTTGGGGAAACTCCAGGATGAATGAAAGCCTGACATCGATAAATGCATCTTTATATGGGGACAGTAAATTCAATTCCAGTGGGTCTAAACCATGAAATGTTCATCATCTTGGCCATAAATATTGTCCAAGTGATGCACCAGTCTATCATCGACATATGAGTTTCTCCCTTTTGACTGTTGTATTTTAAGATATACATTATGGGTTCATGTGGAGATGAATAAAATGGGAAAGGCTATAATTTCTACGCTGTGTACAGTAAATGACATTATGAAGGCCAGCTGCTGGTCCCATTTGACAGAAGATGCCCCAGGGCTATAATTTATCAAACTGAGAGTGTGGGTGTGTGGGTAACTGAGTCTCAACGTGTTTGAGGTCAAGATGCCTTCTCAGCTAAGTCTAGTGGCTTCGCAGTAATAGGCTGTGTTGGACTAATGGTCTGCTGGAGAGAGTGTTACACTCTTTAATTATGTGCTCTGGGACAGTAACCCCCCACACCCCCTCACAAACTCCCACGATCTCCACTGTGCTCTGTCCATTTACTGATCAACTATCAATCAGACTTGCAGTTTGAGTCAGAGGCTGTGGTGTCTTTCCACTGAAGATCGCCAAACATTCGATCACTGTTGTGTGGGCAATAAAGCCTCATTAAAATGTAAAATCCATGACCCTTTGGGAATGGGATGAAATGCTCTTCTTACACGATGATCCGTACACTGCAGAAGTGAACAGGACTAAAGTGAGACGGTGCTTCTGTATGAATCTGACAGCTGGGCAGCCATCCAAGAAAAAACCTCCTTCCTTGAGTGTTTTTTTTTTTTGTCTTATTTGCTGCAGCAGCCAAACAAAGAGGATAAAAAAGAAAGGCAACGATGACAGTAAAATACGAGAAAAAGATTTGGTCTGAAAAATTTGATTCCCCTCCCCCTTTTCAAGTCATAAAAATGTACTTTGCAATATCCAGTTAGTCAGGGATTCGTACTGTTCTTTATTCGTGTTTCATCAAATAGCAGATGATTTTGGCACAGATTTTTGAAGTAGGTAGAAGTTTAGAGAAGAAAGTCAAACAATCCTAAGACCAGTGGATGGTGGCAGTTGGAGGAACAGCGGCCCGAAAGGGGAGGTGGGGAGTTTGGCCCCATGCTTGCTTTCGTCTGCCAGCCTCTGTGCCCTTCCCTGCCACCTGTATTGCCTTATCAGATTGATTAGTCCCTTGACATTGCCGCTCCTCATCCTGGACCAACAAACACACACACATATTTAAATGCAGTCTCCTTTTCACACAACCTGCAGGCATGGATTTGCAGCAAAAAATTTATGGCTTTGTCTTGCAAAATGCCTCCAACACCACATTTGATTAAATGTCCTCAGAGTAATTGTGTTGGTATTAATGGTGTTGCAACGTTGATATTTCCAAATAACTCAGCCTAGAGACAGATTGATGGCGTGCCATAAGTTGTTTTTGGTACAGATTCCGCTCTGTAGACGACTTTTCTCTGACGGGGAATGGTTGATGTGGAGGATGTGGCCGTGGTTTGGGTCAGTAAATTCGACTGCTTTGTCTTTAGTCTTGGCAAGGTTTGATTGTTTTGGCAGAAGCTTTTTGGGGGGCTTTGGGGGAATTGAGAGTTTCATTAATGGATGCGAGACTAGAGCTGCTGTGTTAGATGAGTGCATATGATTTTTGTGGCCTAAATGAGTGTGTTTGTGTGTGCCCTCCTCTGGTCTAGCTCATTAGGTTGGTGTAGGCCAGCCTTTTGCTTTCACCAGGGGAAGGTAAAGTGGGCCACCTGATACCCCCACTGTGCTTTGTCTGTCGGTGCTGAGGGGATGGAATTGCGGGGATGGAATTGCACCTCCAAGGTAGCAGTGGAGGTAACCTGTGATTACTTGATTCCCAGCCCCCCTTCCAACATTCTCGAAAGGATAAATGTCAGACTTCTAACCCCTCTCCTTTTTCTCCTCGTGTCCCTCTGCTTTCCTATAAATCACCGGCTTCTCTCCCTGCAAGACCTGACTCCATTCAGAGAGACCCCTGAGGGTGGCTTTCGTCTTCAGGGCCGTTTCAGATTTCAGAACATGATGCTACTGCCTCTGGGCCCATTTCACTTATGCTCAGCGCACTAATATTCAGTGTTACACATGTCAGGTCTTACAGCACAAAAGCAAGGAAACAAACAAAGTCAACTGCTGGCAGCACTCTGGAGATTGGTTCCCAGTCTAACAGCAGAAATGATCCACTGGTGGAACTCTGTGCCAAAGTTGTGACTTGTTCTGCTTTTGCTGCAAAAGATCTGTGTGTCTTTGTTTGTGATATTTGTAATGACATTTAGTGGAATTTAAAGTGCAGACTTTGATCTGTCAAAATACATTTTAAGATCTGTCCAGGTTGGACAGATCTTAAAATGTATTTTATTAGCATTTCATTTGTATCCATGGTGTAATGGTTAACATGTATGCTTAACATGCAAAAGATCCCCAGTTCATCATTGGGAGGAGACACAAATCCCTGGAAGGACTGCATCAGGAAGAGCAACTGATATAAAAAGCTGTGTCAGATCAAAATATTCAGCTCCATCCACTGTAGCAAATATGAGATCAGCAGAATTAGGGTTTCTGTGATTTGCATTACATTTCATATAGTTGATTGTCAGCCCTGCGACAGACTGGCACCTGTCCAGGTTGTACCACGCCTCTTGCCCTATGGAATAGGTGTCAATCCTGAACTGGATAAATGGATGGATGGATGATTGACAGCTGTGGGTTGTGCTTCACCCAGTGATTTTAAAGCAGAAAACTCCTTGAATGTTGGTTTGTTGGTTTTCAGTTTTGACATTCAGGCGTTGTCAAAGCCAAGTGAATTTCACCAGTTTTGCTATGGAATTAGAATTTTTAACATGTTTTGTTAGCTGTGATTCCACGAGTCTTGAAACACAATGGCTAACCCACTGAGTTTTTTGTTTGTTTGTTTGTTTGTTTGTTTGTTTTCTGGTGCTAGGGAACTCTCAGTATAGTTAGTAGATATCTGAGGCACGATTTTCATGTCCTTTCCATTTGAAATGGAAAGATTTCCATTCACTAGCTTATGTTACCCAGCACATTTAGGCAAATATCAGCCCTC